AGGCGACAGCTTTTTGGCAAGGTGTTCACAATTCAATCAAAACAGAATTCCAACTATAACGTATTCCCCCTACTCCTAAGTTTTGTCCTTTCCACAAGCAAATAGCGTACAAGACCAACAAAACAATTTATTTAAATGTTCGCAGCCTGTGATCCACTGGTTTTTTTATTTACCATAAAGCTGTAGCTGTAGGAAAACGACGACTTACCATAGATTTCGACATTTTTACAACAGGTATCAAATTCTTCATATCTGGAGTTGGTTTATTCGTTTTATGAATTAAAATCTTTTTTTCAGAAGATCGTTTAAAAAAAGACATTGAATCAAATCTTTAATCACACATTTATCCATTTCTAAATATTATTTTTCACTTCAAATTTCTTTAATCTCTTTCTTTACTTTTACCATTTGCTAGTATAAAATTGCAATAATGACTTTGTTTTGATTTATTTCCAACCTCTATGCAAGAGTAAGAAACTCTCATGCATTCATTTACTCTTTTACTTTGTATTTACAATGCCCGGTTCAGTTTTTATACTGAACCATTTCACCATATAAAACAGCAACCGTGACTTTGATTGTATTTGCACGCTTTGTATAAACTTTTGGTTCAGTTTAGTGGAATGATCCTCTCGTCAAATGTAAAGCGATTTTCGCTCAGTCATTTCTTTTCTCTTTTGTATTTACTTTGCATAACATTTGAAGTGCACTTTTTTTATTGAACTGCTTGCACGCATTAATTTAAGAGTTAAGATTATTTTACGTACATATATTTGTTTGTATGTTTTGTGTTGTGTATTCAATATTGAACATAGTCCCAATGTGAATGTTATTTCATTTGCATGCTTTGTAAGCAACGCGGTGCAGTTTTAATTTTGAACCTTAGTATATTTTAAGAGGAATGTGTTTTCTCTTTTATTAATTGTAAGTAATGTTGGGTGTAACTAACACATGTGTGATTTTGTTTGTATTCTACGTTTTGTGTTTATGTTAATATGTTTGGAAAAGCTATTATAAAAAATGTTAAATAGCAAAATTATTAGATTATTTACCTAATAAAAAAAAATCTAAAAAGGAAGCTTTGTTAAGGTGTTCAGTGAACACTCTGAACCATTCGACGCCTCGCCTCTGAATTCTTTACCATTAATTGCTGTATGTTTAGGCACTCACCAAAGCATCACTTTGTTTTTGCTTGCCAGCTGCTGCAGCGTGTCTTAGCAGTCCAACATAAGCTTACAGAAGGATAATGCTTTGATTGCTGCTTGACTATCTGAGGAAATACACATATGAGCGCCTTTTAACCCATTACTAATGTTGATTCGAGCGCAGACCCCAATGACGTCAATCTCCGCTTGGGAGACAGTGGGTCATAAACCCAGTGTGAGCGAGATTCTTGTGTTAGGACCAAATATCCCTGGACCAACTATATCTTTGTTTTTGAACCATCGGTGAGCCATAAAATTACTTTTGATTCTAAACCAAGAGTGCCTATTCGATGAGGAATGAGGACTTCGACTCCGATTTGTCCTATTGTGGATCTCTATGCCAGAAATCAGTCTGCAGATAGAATTTTGACTGTCGAAACTTCCGTGTATGTTGATAACAGTTTGTAGCCTAGCTGTACTCAAAGCTGTTGTCCTTTTAATAAAGAGATGCAGAGGAGTAAGACTTATTATGAACTCCAGTGTTGTTGTAGGACAGGTACAAATAGTTCCCGTCATAGCGATATATGCGAGTCTTTGCAGTTTATTGCATTTGAATATTGCAGCATTATGCTGTGCTGTGTTTTACTAAACAAAAGCTGCATGGGATAGAATGGATCTGACTATTGTGCGGTATTATCACAATAGAATTATTGGACTTATGCTCCAGGTTCTTCCGTAAGAGTTAATGCACATGACCCGGGTGGCTTTGGCAATTATATTATCTAAGTGAGTGTTCCAGTTAAAACGCTTATCAAGGGTAAACCCCAAATATTTGACTTCGTATTTTTTATAGATAGGGACCCAATAATTAGTTTATACCTTCTGGAAAATGGTACAATCGTTGCGTTTTTTGGGTTAATATTTAGACCTTCTTATGAACACCAGCTCGAAACTTTGTATAAGGCCCCCTGCAAATAATGATTGCCAAGTCATCTGCATAACCTATAGCATTGTAGCCAGATTGTTCTACCAGTTTAACTAGTAGATCATTGACTACCAGCGTCCATACCAATATTTAATTTTATTATATTCGTTACAATCACTTCGTTATTCATTTATTTTATATTATTTTACGCGCAACGTAAGGGTTTCACATTTATGCGTCATTTCCGTTTTTTTCTGTCTTCCCTCTTTCGTATCAACTGTCATTCACCTTTCATGCTGCCTCGCAGGGCTGCATTTAGCTCAATATTACTCAGAGTTGCTTTTTTACTGTTACACTCACTATCCACGTTATGCATGAGTCAACATTTTTACGGGCCAGTGCTTCAGATATGAAGTGCCAGCCTGCTCCGACGACGCGAAGCCTAGACATACGCCCCTGAGAGCTAGGCTGTGCGATGGCTTGGTAACCCTCACATGAGCCACCTTAGGTTTATTAGCGAAAGTCACACCAGGAGATTGCTCATTCGATCTGACCTACTTATTCGCAAACGTAGACTGCTGGCCGATTTTGAGAGCGTCTGCTCTGCTATGTCCTGTTGATATAGCCGCCCTGAACCTAGTTCGTTCACTTCTTTTGAGGTTAGTGAATTTCTGGGTTGCCAGAGGTTGTTAACTTTGGCGCCGACGACATTTAAACCGAACTTTTAAGATACCACACTACCGATGTCAAAATCAGCGAATTCAGCGGTTTCAGAGTTTGAAGGCCGCCTTACCTGAGATCGCGACAAAGTGTTCACCGGCACGTTCACCGTTTCCGCAAGCGGAGAAAATGACGGCGACATATCTAAGTCCATCTTTACGCACATTGTAGCGCAGTCGAGAGGGATTGCGGTTTCCAGCCAAATGGCCGCCACGTACTCCACGTCTAATAATTCTATAAAGAAATCGCTTGCTGTCAGAGCGGCATCAAGCTAGTTAGAATTGCCATTAGAATCATTGTTTATGAAAAATTATTTTATTCGGGATTGCTAAGTCACCAACGACATAGCCCGTTTATCGTGGAAACTCTAATTGAAACTGGAGATCAACACGTATTCAGAGGTAGCATATTAAAGACCAACTATCCATGTGCTACAATAATATTTCTAATCGTAGAGAATATATACGATTACTTGGTTAGTTATCAATTTTGTAAATAGACCTGCAATCAGCCACTAAATTTTCAAATCGATCATCATTCGGTATTCTTCCGGTAATGCAAGTAAAATATAAGTTCATTATAGAGTTTGTCAAATATTTAAATTAATCAGAAACTGTTTACATAGTCCTAAGATATGTTTCAAATCCTCCACTTGACATAGAAAAACTATTTAGGCATTTTTGGTGATATGACTAATACTTCACAGAAACTTTTATTTTTTATTTTCTATTCAACAATCAACAATTAATCATCAACTTGTCTTCCAAACACACAGCTAATCAAATCACCTTTCTGTCCTTGTCCCGTTCGTCTTATCTAGTTCAAGTCATCTAGCGAACACCGCATCTAAGATTCGGTTGTTTGTCCTATTGTTCGCGTAACCGATTTAAAACTGGATTCCTTAATAGACCTACCGTGATCGCATTTCTGTTCATCTGTTCCGAACACGAAACCTCTGACACCACTCCAAAGTAGCTTAGAGAACAGGAAAACTGCAGCGGCAGCACAAATGACGAGGTTTGTAATTTCCTCAACTTGGAATAATGGAATGGCACCTGCTGTTGTCATTCCTGCAGCGTCTGCAGCTGCTCCACCTGCGTCGGCTCCTCCGGCTGCGACTGTTGTTGCCATTTTGAATCTTATTTCTATTTGTTAAAGTCTTAAAAAATATATCGAACTATTACTTTCTAATATTTGACGTTGACTGTACAAGAAAAAATTTTAAAATGAATGAAACACAAATTTTCTTTATGAGATACATTATAACTTTTAGCTTACTTTGGTTTTCAGACGATTGAGTTTAGAGTAGTTTTTGACGAACGAATTAAGTATTCGTATTCATTAAGTATTCATTAATTTGTTGCTTAAAGAGACGGCTGATTTTTTTCAAGAATTTAGTATAATTTTTTGTATTTTCATTTTAGTTTAACTGGGATATTATTTATATGTTCTTTCCATTTTAACTTTGCATCTAAGTTCATGCCGAGATTTTTAGTTATATGTGAATATTATAATCGAATATTGGAAATAGTTATTAGCAAATAATCAATTTGAAGTTTACATGGACGAATATGGTTGGATTCAGCTCGATTTTCTATTTATGAGTTTATGGTATTTCCAATAGTAAGGAATAGAAGCTGTATCATTTGCAAAGGTTGCGATGGTGCTCTCCTGTGGGGCGTGCAAGTCGGCTTTGTGGTAGTTACAGAATTGGACCGAGTTTTCTTTTTTGCGGTACTCTAGCTTTAATTAGTTGCACACTACAACATTTTTCTCTACAGAATCGAAATGTTAGAATAGAATAGTAATACACGGGTTACCGTCTCCTAACGATGGGGAGCACTGCGACCATGCTTGATCTTTTGAACTGCTACAGACCCTAACCGAACAGAAAACATTTCGCTCTTCGGAAATATCAACAGCGAAAATGTCAACTTTTAGGGGCCTTCCAGTGTCAGAAAGGGAAAGTAATTCTCAACTCATTGACCCAGCTCCTTAGCCTGACGGTTACCTGAAATGTCGCGCCAGTAGCGATTTCTTTCGGTTGGAAACCATTTTTCAATTAAAGATCTAGATGTGGACCAACTTCATCCACAATATGTCTTCGGTCTTTACCATTAATTCTTTACCATTAATTGCTGTATGTTTAGTCACTCACCAAAGCATCACTTTGTTTTTGCTTGCAAGCTGCTGCAGCGTGTCTTAGCAGTCCAACATAAGCTTACAGAAGGGTAATGCGTTGATTGCTGCTTGACTATCTGAGGAAATACACATATGAGCGCCTTTTAACCCATTACTAATGTTGATTCGAGCGCAGACCCCAATGACGTCAATCTCAGCTTGGGAGACAGTGGGTCATATACCCAGTGCTAGCGAGATTCTTGTGTTAGGAGCAAATATCCCTGGATCAACTATATCTTTGTTTTTGAACCATCGGTGAGCCATGAAATTACTTTTGATTCTAAACCAAGAGTGCCCATTCGATGAGGAATGAGGACTTCGACTCCAATTTGTCCTATCGTGGATCTCTATGCCAGAAATCAGTCTGTAGATAGAATTTTGACTGTCGAAACTTTCGTGTATGTTGATAACAGGGTGTAGCCTAGCTGTACTCAAAGCTGTTGTCCTTTTAATAAAGAGATGCAGAGGAGTAAGACTTATTATGAACTCCAGTGTTGTTGTAGGACAGGTACAAATAGTTCCCGTCATAGCGATATATGCGAGTCTTTGCAGTTTATTGCATTTGAATATTGCAGCATTATGCTGTGCTGTGTTCTACTAAACAAAAGCTGCATGGGATACAATGGATCTGATTATTGTGCGGTATTATCATAATAGAATTATTGGACTTATACTCCAGGTTCTTCCGTAAGAGTTAATGCACATGACCCGGGTGGCTTTGGCAATTATATTATCTAAGTGAGTGTTCCAGTTAAAACGCTTATCAAGGGTAAACCCCAAATATTTGACTTCGTATCTTTTATAGATAGGGACCCAATAATTAGTTTATACCTTCTGGAAAATGGTACAATCGTTGCGTTTTTTGGGTTAATATTTAGACCTTCAAACACCAGCTCGAAACTTTGTATAAGGCCCCCTGCAAATAATGATTGCCAAGTCATCTGCATAACCTATAGCATTGTAGCCAGATTGTTCTACCAGTTTAACTAGTAGATCATTGACTACCAGCGTCCATACCAATATTTAATTTTATTATATTCGTTACAATCACTTCGTTATTCATTTATTTTATATTATTTTACGCGCAACGTAAGGGTTTCACATTTATGCGTCATTTCCGTTTTTTTCTGTCTTCCCTCTTTCGTATCAACTGTCATTCACCTTTCATGCTGCCTCGCAGGGCTGCATTTAGCTCAATATTACTCAGAGTTGCTTTTTTACTGTTACACTCACTATCCACGTTATGCATGAGTCAACATTTTTACGGGCCAGTGCTTCAGATATGAAGTGCCAGCCTGCTCCGACGACGCGAAGCCTAGACATACGCCCCTGAGAGCTAGGCTGTGCGATGGCTTGGTAACCCTCACATGAGCCACCTTAGGTTTATTAGCGAAAGTCACACCAGGAGATTGCTCATTCAATCTGACCTACTTATTCGCAAACGTAGACTTCTGGCCGATTTTGAAAGCGTCTGCTCTGCTATGTCCTGTTGACACTACAGATGTCAAAATCAGCGAATTCAGCGGTTTCAGAGTTTGAAGGCAAAACTTTTATGAACTCCTGCCGCCTTACCTGAGATCGCGACAAAGTGTTCACCGGCACGTTCACCGTTTCCGCAAGCGGAGAAAATGACGGCGACATATCTATGTCCATCTTTACGCACATTGTAGCGCAGTCGAGAGGGATTGCGGTTTCCAGCCAAATGGCCGCCACGTACTCCACGTCTAATAATTCTATAAAGAAATCGCTTGCTGTCAGAGCGGCAGCAAGCTAGTTAGAATTGCCATTAGAATCATTGTTTATGAAAAATTATTTTATTCGGGATTGCTAAGTCACCAACGACATAGCCCGTTTATCGTGGAAACTCTAATTGAAACTGGAGATCAACACGTATTCAGAGGTAGCATATTAAAGACCAACTATCCATGTGCTACAATACTATTTCTAATCGTAGAAAATATATACGATTACTTGGTTAGTTATCAATTTTGTAAATAGACCTGCAATCAGCCACTAAATTTTCAAATCGATCATCATTCGGTATTCTTCCGGTAATGCAAGTAAAATATAAGTTCATTATAGAGTTTGTCAAATATTTAAATTAATCAGAAACTGTTTACATAGTCCTAAGATATGTTTCAAATCCTCCACTTGACATAGAAAAACTATTTAGGCATTTTTGGTGATATGACTAATACTTCACAGAAACTTTTATTTTTTATTTTCTATTCAACAATCAACAATTAATCATCAACTTGTCTTCCAAACACACAGCTAATCAAATCACCTTTCTGTCTTTGTCCCGTTCGTCTTACCTAGTCCAAGTCATCTAGCGAACACCGCATCTAAAATTCGGTTGTTTGTCCTATTGTCCGCGTAACCGATTTAAAACTGGATTCCTTTATGGACCTACCGTGATCGCATTTCTGTTCATCTGTTCCGAATACGAAACCTCTGACACCACTCCAAAATAGCTTAGAGAACAGGAAAACTGCAGCGGCAGCACAAATGACGAGGTTTGTAATTTCCTCAACTTGAAATAATGGAATGGCACCTGCTGTTGTCATTCCTGCAGCGTCTGCAGCTGCTCCACCTGCGTCGGCTGCTCCGCCTGCGACTGTTGTTGCCATTTTGAATCTTATTTCTATTTGTTAAAGTCTTAAAAAATATATCGAACTATTACTTTTTAATATTTGACGTTGACTGTACAAGAAAAAATTTTAAAATGAATGAAACACAAATTTTCTTTATGAGATACATTATAACTTTTAGCTTACTTTGGTTTTCAGACGATTGAGTTTAGAGTAGTTTTTGACGAACGAATACTTACTTGTATATCATTAATTTGTTGCTTAAAGAGACGGCTGATTTTTTTCAAGAATTTAATATAATTTTTTGTATTTTCATTTCTATCTAAGTTCATGCCGAGATTTTTAGTTATATTTGAGTATTATAATCGAATATTGGACATAGTTATTAGCAAATAATCAATTTGAAGTTTACATGGACGAATATCGTTTGATTCAGCTCGATTTTCTATTTATGAGTTTATGGTATTTCCAATAGTAAGGAATAGAAGCTGTATCATTTGCAAAGGTTGCGATGATGCTCTTCTGTGGGGCGTGCAAGTCGGCTTTGTAGTAGTTACAGAATTGGACCGAGTTTTCTTTTTTGCGGTACTCTAGCTTTAATTAGTTGCACACTACAACATTTTTCTCTACAGAATCGAAATGTTAAAATAGAATAGTAATACACGGGTTACCGTCTCCTAACGATGGGGAGCACTGCGACCATGGTTGATCTTTTGAACTGCTACAGACCCTAACCGAACAGAAAACATTTCGCTCTTCGGAAATATCAAAATTCAGCGAAAATGTCAACTTTTAGGGGGCTTCCAGTGTCAGAAAGGGAAAGTAATTCTCAACTCATTGACCCAGCTCCTTAGCCTGACGGTTACCTGAAATGTCGCGCCAGTAGCGATTTCTTTCGGTTGAAAACCATTTTTCAATTAAAGATCTAGATGTGGACCAACTTCATCCACAACATGTCTTCGGTGATTACCATTAATTCTTTACCATTAATTGCTGTATGTTTAGGCACTCACCAAAGCATCACTTTGTTTTTGCTTGCCAGCTGCTGCAGCGTGTCTTAGCAGTCCAACATAAGCTTACAGAAGGATAATGCTTTGATTGCTGCTTTGTTAAAGTCTTAAAAAATATATCGAACTATTACTTTTTAATATTTGACGTTGACTGTACAAGAAAAAATTTTAAAATGAATGAAACACAAATTTTCTTTATGAGATACATTATAACTTTTAGCTTACGTTGGTTTTCAGACGATTGAGTTTAGAGTAGTTTTTGACGAACGAATACTTACTTGTATATCATTAATTTGTTGCTTAAAGAGACGGCTGATTTTTTTCAAGAATTTAATATAATTTTTTGTATTTTCATTTTAGCTTAACTGGGATATTATTTATATGTTCTTTCCATTTTAACTTTGCATCTAAGTTCATGCCGAGATTTTTAGTTATATTTGAGTATTATAATCGAATATTGGACATAGTTATTAGCAAATAATCAATTTGAAGTTTACATGGAGGAATATCGTTTGATTCAGCTCGATTTTCTATTTATGAGTTTATGGTATTTCCAATAGTAAGGAATAGAAGCTGTATCATTTGCAAAGGTTGCGATGATGCTCTTCTGTGGGGCGTGCAAGTCGGCTTTGTAGTAGTTACAGAATTGGACCGAGTTTTCTTTTTTGCGGTACTCTAGCTTTAATTAGTTGCACACTACAACATTTTTCTCTACAGAATCGAAATGTTAAAATAGAATAGTAATACACGGGTTACCGTCTCCTAACGATGGGGAGCACTGCGACCATGGTTGATCTTTTGAACTGCTACAGACCCTAACCGAACAGAAAACATTTCGCTCTTCGGAAATATCAAAATTCAGCGAAAATGTCAACTTTTAGGGGGCTTCCAGTGTCAGAAAGGGAAAGTAATTCTCAACTCATTGACCCAGCTCCTTAGCCTGACGGTTACCTGAAATGTCGCGCCAGTAGCGATTTCTTTCGGTTGAAAACCATTTTTCAATTAAAGATCTAGATGTGAACCAACTTCATCCACAATATGTCTTCGGTGTTTACCATTAATTCTTTACCATTAATTGCTGTATGTTTAGGCACTCACCAAAGCATCACTTTGTTTTTGCTTGCCAGCTGCTGCAGCGTGTCTTAGCAGTCCAACATAAGCTTACAGAAGGATAATGCTTTGATTGCTGCTTGACTATCTGAGGAAATACACATATGAGCGCCTTTTAACCCATTACTAATGTTGATTCGAGCGCAGACCCCAATGACGTCAATCTCCGCTTGGGAGACAGTGGGTCATAAACCCAGTGTGAGCGAGATTCTTGTGTTAGGACCAAATATCCCTGGACCAACTATATCTTTGTTTTTGAACCATCTTGTTGATAACAGGGTGTAGCCTAGCTGTACTCAAAGCTGTTGTCCTTTTAATAAAGAGATGCAGAGGAGTAAGACTTATTATGAACTCCAGTGTTGTTGTAGGACAGGTACAAATAGTTCCCGTCATAGCGATATATGCGAGTCTTTGCAGTTTATTGCATTTGAATATTGCAGCATTATGCTGTGCTGTGTTCTACTAAACAAAAGCTGCATGGGATAGAATGGATCTGACTATTGTGCGGTATTATCACAATAGAATTATTGGACTTATGCTCCAGGTTCTTCCGTAAGAGTTAATGCACATGACTCGGGTGGCTTTGGCAATTATATTATCTAAGTGAGTGTTCCAGTTAAAACGCTTATCAAGGGTAAACCCCAAATATTTGACTTCGTATCTTTTATAGATAGGGACCCAATAATTAGTTTATACCTTCTGGAAAATGGTACAATCGTTGCGTTTTTGGGTTAATATTTAGACCTTCTTATGAACACCAGCTCGAAACTTTGTATAAGGCCCCCTGCAAATAATGATTGCCAAGTCATCTGCATAACCTATAGCATTGTAGCCAGATTGTTCTACCAGTTTAACTAGTAGATCATTGACTACCAGCGTCCATACCAATATTTAATTTTATTATATTCGTTACAATCACTTCGTTATTCATTTATTTTATATTATTTTACGCGCAACGTAAGGGTTTCACATTTATGCGTCATTTCCGTTTTTTTCTGTCTTCCCTCTTTCGTATCAACTGTCATTCACCTTTCATGCTGCCTCGCAAGGCTGCATTTAGCTCAATATTACTCAGAGTTGCTTTTTTACTGTTACACTCACTATCCACGTTATGCATGAGTCAACATTTTTACGGGCCAGTGCTTCAGATATGAAGTGCCAGCCTGCTCCGACGACGCGAAGCCTAGACATACGCCCCTGAGAGCTAGGCTGTGCGATGGCTTGGTAACCCTCACATGAGCCACCTTAGGTTTATTAGCGAAAGTCACACCAGGAGATTGCTCATTCGATCTGACCTACTTATTCGCAAACGTAGACTGCTGGCCGATTTTGAGAGCGTCTGCTCTGCTATGTCCTGTTGACACTACTGATGTCAAAATCAGCGAATTCAGCGGTTTCAGAGTTTGAAGGCAAAACTTTTATGAACTCCTGCCGCCTTACCTGAGATCGCGACAAAGTGTTCACCGGCACGTTCACCGTTTCCGCAAGCGGAGAAAATGACGGCGACATATCTATGTCCATCTTTACGCACATTGTAGCGCAGTCGAGAGGGATTGCGGTTTCCAGCCAAATGGCCGCCACGTACTCCACGTCTAATAATTCTATAAAGAAATCGCTTGCTGTCAGAGCGGCATCAAGCTAGTTAGAATTGCCATTAGAATCATTGTTTATGAAAAATTATTTTATTCGGGATTGCTAAGTCACCAACGACATAGCCCGTTTATCGTGGAAACTCTAATTGAAACTGGAGATCAACACGTATTCAGAGGTAGCATATTAAAGACCAACTATCCATGTGCTACAATACTATTTCTAATCGTAAAGAATATATACGATTACTTGGTTAGTTATCAATTTTGTAAATAGACCTGCAATCAGCCACTAAATTTTCAAATCGATCATCATTCGGTATTCTTCCGGTAATGCAAGTAAAATATAAGTTCATTATAGAGTTTGTCAAATATTTAAATTAATCAGAAACTGTTTACATAGTCCTAAGATATGTTTCAAATCCTCCACTTGACATAGAAAAACTATTTAGGCATTTTTGGTGATATGACTAATACTTCACAGAAACTTTTATTTTTTATTTTCTATTCAACAATCAACAATTAATCATCAACTTGTCTTCCAAACACACAGCTAATCAAATCACCTTTCTGTCCTTGTCCCGTTCGTCTTATCTAGTCCAAGTCATCTAGCGAACACCGCATCTAAGATTCGGTTGTTTGTTCTATTGTCCGCGTAACCGATTTAAAACTGGATTCCTTAATGGACCTACCGTGATCGCATTTCTGTTCATCTGTTCCGAATACGAAACCTTTGACACCACTCCAAAGTAGCTTAGAGAACAGGAAAACTGCAGCGGCAGCACAAATGACGAGGTTTGTAATTTCCTCAACTTGAAATAATGGAATGGCACCTGCTGTTGTCATTCCTGCAGCGTCTGCAGCTGCTCCACCTGCGTCGGCTGCTCCGCCTGCGACTGTTGTTGCCATTTTGAATCTTATTTCTATTTGTTAAAGTCTTAAAAAATATATCGAACTATTACTTTTTAATATTTGACGTTGACTGTACAAGAAAAAA